AATGTGTCTTATCTTGCAGGCAGAATCCATGACATTTGTGACATCTAGAGGTGAAGGGAGCAAGACTGGATGGAAGAAAGTGTCCATGAACCATCTGCCCTGCAAAGGCAGAGTATTAACTACAGAAGCAGTGAAGAAAAAGGGTTTAAAGTATTGTCATAAAACCTACATAATGCCTAAAAAAATGCAAATACTGCGCTCTGCCTTTGGATAATCTCCACAGAGTGTGATGGCAAATGCAATATCTACCAACAAAATATGTTCTTTCAGCTTTCTTATCCATTTTACCTAAAAAAATAAAGTTTATTTCAAGAAAATAAACTTTCTTTTTATTACTTACAGCTTATCGTAGTCCTACTTGAATTACATATATCTTTGCTGGTGTCTGTCTACTGATAATATTTATATTGAAATCAGTATCAAAAGTTACTTTACTATTTAACATATTTAAATATGGGAATTTAAGATGACTCAACCGCACCATATTGCATTAATTCCACTCTGGTCAAAAGCCGGGAGCAAGCAGCTACTGAGATTTGCTAAGCTAATTACTCATAGCAGGTTAACCTGGGTTTTTTCTCCCTCCCATTGTGACTGAATTCAGTTTTAATTTTATGGAATAACTAACTGAATGAACCAAGATGTTAGCTCATCCAAATGCATATTTTGCATTAGGAAATTAAGTTAGTGGATGCTAGCTAAGGTAGCTATGGCAAGCTTTCATTTGATAGAGCTCTCTTGCTTTAGCTGTTTAGTTGGCAGAGAGCACATTAAGTGCAATGTTGAAATCTTGAGTTAAAAAATTACTAAACCACATCACAGTGACTTCAGCCTGGGCAGCAAAACAACAACCTAAACATGTTCACTACACAACTGCAGGGCAGTTACTGAGGTTTAGCTTAGCTTTCAGCTCCATTTTGAAATCCTGGTGAAGACAGACGTAGGCCATAAAATGCCTTGTATTTGCTGGTATATGTACTTTTGTTTATGATAAATAATAATAAGACCGATTTAGGCTTCATGCCATATCAGCACAGCGGTGTGGAACGGGAGCGAGGGGAGGAAACTAGGGGAGCGCAGTGTTGAGATAGCTGCCTGTAAGCAGACAGACGTAAGAGGACAGGATCAGCCTTGTACCTGCATCAGTATGCCACAGTAGTTCCCACTCTGCCCTCTTCGTTCCTCTGTGCAAACAACAGACAGCACCTGGCCTCTTCAGCCCTCCTCCCTGTCTCCACAAGAGGATGAATCTGTCGTGATGTCCATTAGCGTTATTACTGCTCTGACATCCATGAAAGCAGTCAGGGTTGTCCCTTATTGTGTTGACATAGCATGAAACCCATGCTGGCAGACACAGCCTAATCTGACACATCAGATTTACCCGTTCCTATAGTGTCTATTTCGCCCTGTATGAAGTGGAGTTCCACTCCTACTCGCCTGAATGTACATACTTATCTACTACTTGGGGCGACAGTGAACCTCTTATCTGCTCCCATGTTTTAAAAGTTCTTTGTGGACACTGTGTTGCATATCGTCTACCCGGTGTTTGGTTCACTTAGAGTGGCAAAATGTGAATGTACAGTACCATAAGTATACAGCATAAAAGCAGCAGATATACCTCTTTAAATTAAGTCGGTATTGGGGTTGAAAATCCTTTCACTGCATTTTCCGCCTGTGGTTACGCAGCTTTGTTTGGACACATTGATCCACACGCAGTCACTAACTGAGAACTAAGGTGTAATAACATTAGTTAAAGTGTTGATGGTTGTCTAATTTGTTTTAAGTGATGAATACGCTTGCGTGCTTTTCGTTTGGTTGAGTAGTGGCATCACTGTTGCATCTGTGACTTACAGCGTTGATAGTTTTGGGTTTGTTTCTTGATGCACAGCTCTCCAAATTTAACAAAACCGTGAGTCATGAATCTTCTGTGCATCATATCACAGGACATGACTCATGGGTTGGACCGGCGGCAGAATTCTTACTCACCACTACAGAGTCCTGGCTGCAGTTACCTACAACCATACCTCTGGCTTTTGTCCATGATTGCAAATGGGAAGCCAGTGAGGGATTTTCACTGCACTGGTTAGATTATTTGTCTCCCTGCTTCCAAAATGTTGTTTTGTTTCCTGTTACAAGAAAGTGCTGATCACCATAGTTTAGTGTGAAGGTTTAGTTTAGTGTAAATGTGAAGGAAAGTGAGGTCGACGCCTCACGAAATCTTCTTGGAAAAATATGGTGCTGCTGATTGTGCACCCATGTCTCCCTGCGTAAGTAAATTGTGGATTGTAATAGTTTAAGTCAACACTAATTATTTCCCTAATTTGTTTTTTTCTTTTTTTCTCAATCAAACCAAAACCATTGGGCTCTAAATCTAATGATGCAGCTGCTCTACTTTCCACAAATCTTACTTCCTAGTGTTCATTATATTTATAATTCATATTATTGTTGTTATTATTGTTGTTGTTGTTATTGTTGTTATCATTATTATAATTTGGGCTTCTTTATTTTATCTCTTTTATAGCTGTTATTGATTGTATTGTCTGCCTTGCTGCAAGGCAGTTTTCATATTAGGGGCAGTGCAGTCTTGAATTTAATTATATTTTACTTCAGAAACATTGCTGGTAGCTCAAGTGTGAATGTCACTGCTTCCAGGAAAAAGCACGTAGCTTGTTCAAAACAAATGCAAGAAATCCCCATGGGCTTCAGATGTTAAAAATTTATTAACCAGGAGGCAATTTCATTGCACTCGTTGATTAATGAATGTGGACCTACATCAGCTTTGAGTTATCAGTGCTTTACTGAAAAAGCGGTTACTACACGCCGTATTTTTTTCAATAAAGCGCCCCTTTATTTTTCACATTTCCCATGATTGCGTGTTCTGCAACCATTCTGCCCTGGTACCGCAAAGAGTTCATGGTTCTTGTACAGAAGAAACAAATGTGTACTTTAAGACAAGACAAATTCTTTAGGGGTTTAGATCAAAAGAGAAGCAGTAGTTTCAAAAACAGGGAAATGTTGGCCTCCTACAACGGCTGTTTGTTCCAGTCCCAAGCACCAGAGAGCAAAACGGAGCATTGCCCAGGCTTTGTTCTGAGCCTTGCTGGACACTGATTAGCTATGCTAACACTGGCCATGTGGCCGTGTGGCTCTGCCTTCAGAGTCCCTCAGTGAAGAGGCGCCTGAATTTTATTCAATATCAGCAACCAAATGACAAAATAAACACGAACATTTGGGCACATTAATCCTCAGAAATGCGTCCTTTTTTTATTAAATGTGGAGCTTACCGTGTCATGAGAGACACAGGATTTGAAAGTCTGGTCATTGGCAGTGTCATGGACAATTCAGAATGCTTCTGGTTTTAACTGCAAGCACACAGTCTTTGTTGTGACAGTAGGAAAACTCAGAGGGGCACATCACAGGAGACTCCTATGAGAGATTTGATTCTTGCACAGTAACAAGACGTAATCATTCCACAGTCACGGATCTTTAAATCGCAGTATGCAACTTTTTTGCCTTGAGGCAACATATGTTAGTCAGACCCACCTTCCTCCCCCTGAGCTGGGTTTGCTAAAACCTCAATACATGTCAGTCATGTTGATGAGCCTCCAGCCGAGGGAAGCATTTGGTACTGAGAGTGAACGCAGTCAAACTGTTAGAATAGAAAAATGATCATCATCGTTTCAGGAACAGGTCTTGTGTGCTGATGTTGTTATTGTGCTGCTCTTTGATGGTCACAACCCAGTTAACTGCTGGCCACAGCTGGCCAACAATAATGTTGCACAACCAAAAACGTCTTGAACATCGAAACAGTACGAGGGATGTGGAGCATGAGCATGTAGATATACAGTATATACTTACTCACTGAATGAAATTGCTAAGATCTGAGAAGCAAACAGCAAACGCAACATCTGTTATATGATCAGATAAGTTTTAATCCAAATTTATGCAGGAGGAAACATAATACCCAAAATGCCTGTTGTAACATCCATCATAACTTACAGATCTTCCATACTTGTCGTAGTTGTGCCTGTTCAGTTCTCCTTTGCAATTAGAGATTTTTACTGATATTTCAGCTGTGTGCACTTTCAGTTTTACCCCTCAAAACTGATTAAGTTCATCTAAACTGCTGCTGCTTACAACCTGTGTGATAGTTTGACTGCTCATGCTTCTTACCCAGTTGGATTTTGTCAGTGACCATATCTACGAAAAAACAAGACTCAAGCTTCCACCAGGAGGTAGAGCGGGTCGTCCACTGATCGGAAGCTCGATGGTTTGATTCCTGGCTCCTCCAGTGCCCATGTCGAAGTGTCCTATTGCCATATGTATCATCGGTGTGTGAGTGTGTGTGTGTGTGGTTCAAAAAGTGCTGTATATATGTAGAAAAAAGCACTGTATGAATGTGTGTGCGAGTGGGTGAATGTGGCTTTTAGTTTAAAGCGCTTTGAGTGCTATATAAGTGCAGTCCATTTACCATGTAACAAACACAACACTGACATATTTTAGGTTACCAAACAGTTGAGCGTTTACACACCAGGCAGATACAGAACAACATTATCATTCAGAAGTGTTTCCATTAGCATTCAGTTCATCTGCTGAATGTCTAATATTCACTTTTCTTTTAGCTCTGACGTTGGTTTCCACTAAACTCCTGATGGTAATATCTGGCCTTCAAGCTGCACAATGTTCCACTGTGTTCACCAGCTAGTCACTAACTTCCGTCTGGCTCATATTTGGTGCTGTGCATGATATATACGGGGGGCAAATGGCTTTTTCACTGAAAACAGCTGCAGCCAAAAATGGCGCAGTGATAACGGTGAGCGTGAACCACAACAGTAAAGAAAACCAGCACTTTAAACTTCTTCAGAGCTGTTTGTAGATTTATAATTTTAATATCACAGAATAAGTTGCATGTTACAGCTTTAATCTCAGCTTCTCCAAGCATTACTCTACCAATAACTAAGTGGTCCCTCTCTGTCGTTCCCTGCTCTGTTTGTCTGCAGGATGCCAAGTTCGTGGAGGAGAGGAGGAAGCAGCTGCAGGGCTACCTTCGCACGGTGATGAACAAACTGATCCAGACGCTGCCGGAGTTCACAGCCCGACCCACCAAAGAGAACCTGCTGTCTCTTTTGCCTTTCTGCCTGTAAGTGGACACACACAGGCATGTGTTCGATACAGGATCTAAGCTTCTGTGTGAGCATGTGCAATTGTGTGTGTGGGTGAGAGGGAATCAGAAAAAAAAGATGCCAAAACATGCGCAGGTGCAGGGCTTCTGTCTGTGAAAGATTGCTGTAGAAATTTGAGTGGTCCAATCCAAACAGGAATACATGTATCAGGGATAAAAGGAAGAGCCAGGGGATCTAAGTATTTTTTATAAGTTTATATATCCATATCACAGAAAATTCAAATATGACAAAATCCACATTATATATCCAAATGTAGAACTGCGTTTTAAAACTGTAAAAATCCCATGGTACGCTCCAACATCTAAAAAGAACAAACTGCCTGTCAGTTTATGGCAATAGTTTGTATGTATTATACCAATTTAATCTACAACATTTCAGAAAGAATTAGCTGCCACGGCTGTTGTGGTAGTAGTTGTTTGAGGATACAAACAGGGAGGATTAATGTCACTGAAAATGCCAAATCCCTTGTAAACAAACTTCACCGTTTCCCTGCGTTTTACACTCATATTCACAGATAGAGAGAGCACTGTATGTGCTCTCTCTCACACACACACACACATACACACACACACACACACACACACACACACACACACACACACACATATTCACACACACTCAGACTAGCAAGTGTGAAAGTGCATGATGCCTCGGCTTCCCACCTACCTTCCAGGCTACATCTGAAAATGAGATGTTCCAGTCATTTCCTGTCGATACTCACATCAGTTTCTGCTTACTGCAGTCAGTCAGTGAGCGTGACCTGTCACACCGTCTGACTGGAATGTCATTTCCTCTCTGGAGACATCTGAGTCATCGGGCTACACCAACACCAACAACAACAACATCAACAACAAGAACATAGTTGACATAGATGTTGGTGCGTCACTGCATTTAAAGATGCAATATGTAAAATAAGTATCTTAATTTTAAACATTCAGAATGTGTAGAAACAACAGTTTTTATCAAAGATGTATTGTGTTGCAGAGATACCTGCTGAAGTTAGCTTAGTTAACTGCTAACCAGCTAGCTCCACCCTGTCCCATCTCATAATACCTCTTTATACCTCAAGAGGCAATAGTGAGTCACTGTATCATCTACTCTGCCCTCAGTCCAGATCACAGACTGTATATAACGATGGAAACTTGGTTGTGAGTGTCCAGTGAGCCCAGTGCACGCACACAGCACGCTCTCATGCACACTCCAAATGACAGGCACACAGAAAAGGGTGGTAAAAATGATGATCCACCGGCCAACAGAGTTCATGGCCTGCCCCACCAAAGAGACCCTGCTGTCTCCTCTGCCTTTCTGCCTGTGACACACACACCGCCGATGACCGGTCCAACTGTGGCACAGTGTCCGCAGATCTGTGATTATCAAAAGGGAAACTACTAAATATAGCAGCTGATCGTGGGAACTGCCAAAGAAGTGATCTCCTAAGTATCTACATGATTATCCAAGGTATTTGGTAACCATGGTAACACATATGTACACCAGCACATGATTGCGGGGATTTTCCCAGATAAATCAGAAGGAATAGAAGTAAATCAGAGGTGTACTGTTCCAGTTTTAGTATACTGTCTCTGCTTTGTTTTGACAAACTTAGCCAAACTACAAAGATGAAAGCAACAGGAACATATCAGCTTTAATTATGGCTTTGAGTTCCCAATGGTAACTGGATTTTGTTTTGCACCATGGAATCTAAGAGATGTAGTCCACATAAGGAATATCTGGGATTTAGATAAATTCTCGTGGGAAGTCATGGCGTATCCGGGAACCTGCCGAATTTCACAGATGAGTTACAGCAATATACTAAAATATAAACTAGTGTGTGGCCAGTTGTCCTGGAAGACACACCCCTGCAGGTGTTTCCAATTACTCTGGCTGATTAGAGCTGTGCTCAGGTTAAGGCAGGGTGGAGCTGTGCTGCCATTTAATTAACTAAATAAGAAACTGAATTAAAAACCTTTTTTCAAGGAACACCACAAAAAAAAAAAAAAACAATTTTCCATATAGCACAAGTAGAGAAATATTCAAATTGAGAGGTAAGTCTCCAGAGTCAGTTGTCCAGTAGAATAAGAGTACCAGACATAAAGGCCTGTATAAACTTCCAAAGCACAGTGTGCTCATTATTTAGTTTGCCCTGAGAGGCTTAATAATCATATCTCTCTCTCTCTCATATCTCCAAGCTGGAATAGAAACCTTTCTACTGCACGTCTTTGAATGACATGAAATATTAGAGTGTCAAGCCGGCAAAGTCTACTTGAGACTTCACTTTCTTTCACAAGTCTCATTCAGAGTTCAGAGTTTAATATGTCTTTAATCAGTCTACTGAATGAAGGTACGTCTATTCTCGCTCAGTTACTGCGTGTGTTTATGATTGTAAAGTCCTGCTTATGTGCCAGTAACTAGTGAATTATATAATATTATTATAAATAATACAGGGACACAGCAGGTTGACCATTAGGGAAGAAAGATTGAAGATCAAAATAACAGGAGATGCGGAACAATCTCTGTTATACTTTTTTGTGTAAGTCTTCCTGTGTGACCACAGTGGCACCTCTGTAACGGTTAGCCGGGAGATGAGGCAAAGAGAAACAACAACAACGGCAAAATGACACAACAACATCTTGAGCATCGTGTTACATGTTGCAGAGAGTCTGCAGACACGTCTGCCTTTGATGAGATTCAGTGGTGGCAGCTGACAGAGAGCTGATGGCTCAGGACTTGTTGTGCACCTGTTGTGATTGGTAGTGACACTGGAATTTTTACCTCCATGACTCAGTGGAATTACAGTCGACAGTGGATCAACCCTGATCAGCATACCATAATATTTCCGGCTTGTGTGTGTGTGTGTGTGTGTGCGTGTGTGCACTCTAGTTTCTTGCCAGAGTCCCTTTGTAATAAAGTTTCTTTGAGGCCTGCCAGTGCTGTCATGATGCTTAATGGTTTAATATGATGTTACTGTTTCATCTGGACTCCATAACTGCCTGTTTGGTTGGCATGATCAAACCTCCGCTAGTTCAACATCTGAGGGATGAAGGCCTGATTTGTCTGGTCATTAGCTTAGCGGGGGGGGGGGTCTGATTACAATTATGTGAACATATCTGCTATTAAAATTAAATTACCTCATTTGATATCTAGCTAACATCAGTTTGCTAGCTTGCAATAATGTAGTTGTGGTTTAACTGTTGACATCAGTAGCTATACTAGCTTAGCAGCTAAGTAGCATAACTTGACCTAGAAATTCAACAAACATTACAACATACAATAAACACTGCAGCTTTTAAACAATGCTAGTGTGGAATTCAAATTATTAATTTGTGCAGAAGTATGAATATTGAATATTTATTATCGACAAAAACCATGGATGATAATAATTATCATTAATGGAAGGAAGTAGGTTCCAGTGACCTGTGCATGTTAAAGTTGAGAAAACGTTAAATATGTAAAGAATGTTAAGACATGTTGGACACAGCTTTACCACTCAGGAGAGTCACATTATAATAAATCCGGCTTCTCATGAAGGACATTCAATAGTTTCCACTTTGTAATATACATTTACATCTGCTCTGTGGATGTTAATGGAGTTAATACCAGACCTACTCTCTTACGTGGTTCATTTTTTTTACTGAACAATGCTGAATGAATCCATGCCTAGAAAATTTGCCAGCAATATTTTTTTTAGAGTGTCTCTATTTCTTCATGGCTGGTATGTATTCATTATCATCTGTGTACAGCCAATTATCCTTTTGACCTCCACGATGCCACCAGATGTAGTCGCTGGCAGATTTGTGACACAATGGCAAAGCCTATATGAGGGTGGAGTGACTCTAATATGAGATGACAGATGTTCTGATGCATTGAGAGAATTAGGAGCCAGTGAGGAGAGGAAATGACAGGAAGCAGTTTAGTGAGAACACTGAAGGGAAGAGGACAGTGGGAGAGGAGGGAGGGAGAGAAAGCTGGTCTGAGGTCTGAGGAGGAGACAGAGTAAAAGAGAAAAAAGATGGGAAAAAGACAGAAAGGCATATTGGGGCTCAGCACTGATGATCTCCTGCTGACGCACTCTGTGTTCAAAGACCAGATGGATCTCAAAACTCCTTAATGCTGGTACACTGACCTAAAGGTTTTATGAAAATAGGGTGTAGTAACTAGCAGCGTTATTGACTATTATATCATTTTCACTGACAATATTCCTCTTACAAACCCCAAAAATGTTACTCATTCCCTTTAAATACGAGCTTGAAGTTGAGTCATTCAAAAACGATATTGCATGCCAGTCCTCTGGTAGGATTCTGTCATAATTAACCACTCAGATTGATGCGAGTTGGCAGGAAACACACTTGAATGGGTTCCTGCTGCTTTGATTTAACTGAGCAGCAGTTTGACAAAAGCACTGACACCATACATCTCTATTTGATCACACTGATCTTTTGCAGATGAGACATAAAGGTAAAAGTGGATGACATCTTGTGATGTTAGAGGATCAAATAACTGCTCCGGGGGGGAAATAAACAGGGTTTCAGTTCAGTCTTATCTCAAGTCAGTTTACCTGTAGTGCAGTACTCACCTGCACAATACAGTTTACATAACGTTCTCTCTTGATATATATTTCTGTGATACAGGATGTAAAACCTGAAATGACATCTGTGCCCTCACTTCATTTTTTAAACCCAAATAACTTATAGCTTTTTGCAGAGCTTTCAAATGTATCACACTGACTTCATCAATTTGATGATGCAGTTGTCATGGAGATAAATCTTGACATGCAGCCCCACCGCTGCGGTTTCATCGAGTTGTTTTCAGGACTTCTTAACTTTTAATCTAGCATGAGCATGAATACATTTGAAAACCCTGCAAAAAGCTAGTAAGTGGACCTTGAGTTGGGATTCTTTTGTCATCCTATAATGTTGATAATGAGTATTTTGGTAATTGTTATTAACCAGTGTGGCGCTGGGGATGTCGGACTCCACACTGAAATACTGTATCTCAACAACTATTGGATGGATTTCCATGAAATTTGTTGCAGATAATCATGATCATCCCGTCAGGATGTTCTGTGATAACGTTTTGATATCCACAGGAAGATATAGTTTTGATTTTAAGAACCAAAAACCATCTCAGTGTAGTTTTACATCTCCTCTCTCAGGCTTCTCTCTGCAGCTCTAGCAACAACAGGTCGGTGAGCCAATCAGAAGAGAGGAGGCTCTGAGCCTCTCTTATGATTGGCTGAGTGTTTTTTGAGTGATGAAATACAAATATAACAGATTTCAAGTAAACAATCAGAGAAACCAAATCCTGCTAGGTTGGACAGTGGGTCCGGTTGGTCCGGGCTTGAGGCATGGCTGAGAGCGATGACATCACAAAGTTCCAGAAGTCCTGACGGCTGGTTTTAAGGCTCAGTTTCTGAATACAGGCTGTGTGCAGGCACCTTTAACTTTTCCTCCAGCACCATCATCAACTCATGTTTTTTAATTTGTCCAGTACTTCGGTTTATGACTAAATAGCTGCAAAACTACTGACAATCCGATCAGCTGTGCAAATCATAGCATGCTAACATGCTAAACTAAGACGATAACAGTATACCCGCTGAATTTCAGCACGCTGGCATTGTTAGCATGTTGCCGTAAGACCTCACAGACAGTAATGGTCGTAGTACTGTTTCACTGCTACTGATGACCTACAGTTGGTCATCATTAACGCACCTATTTATTCAACATTAATGTGTAATTGATATTTTAGCAACAGAGCAGACAGCAGTGTTCGTTTGTGCTCAGTGGCCGACACGCTGACGTGCACAGATCTCCTCGTGTCTCTCCACACTCACTTCTTTGGACTCGCATGCCGCAATTTCCCTCACTTCCCTCACCTCTCCTTAGATTTGCCACCACTTAGTATGCAGCTCCACCTCAACACTTATATGGTCTACTCAGAACACAGAGTTCACACACGCACTCAGTCTGGGCTCATTGACCCTTTGCCTCGGAAAAAGAAGCGTTGCAGACCTTTGGCTCACTGTCGAGAGCAGTTTGTGGCAGTTTGACTTCAGAATGAACATGTAACCTTTTATTGTGGTATTAAATTAGCTGAAACAATTTATTTGTGTCTACCTGTGCACAGGCGGGTGGGTTTTTACTAAAGAGGTGAACTGAAATGTGTGTGTGCTTGTGTGTGTGTGTGTGTGTGAGAGAGAGAGAGAGAGAGAGAGACAGGAAATGTAGAGGGAATAGTTTATTATTCAGAGTGTACTATTCATTTCACCCCACCTTTTACTGTTAGACAGTCAATTTGATGTATGCTTGTTTGTGCACCTGTTTACTCTAATTATGCTCCTCTGCAGTCATATTATTAATATTCCAGCAGTGCCTGGGAGAGTTATTATCCTCCACAAGTCAATATCATGTCCAAATGGGGGACAAGCTCATGCTGAAGGCCAGAAAAGAAATCTATAAGCCTAATTACTTTAGCACATTTAGCTCCTTTACCCAGTTTGATATGAATAAATGAGATGGCTTGCAGTCTCAGCTCTGCATGCTGCCCCCAGTTTAGTATGATTTTTGCTGATATAACTGTTTGGCTTTACCTCAGTCAACTTCAAATTGTGACTGCACCTAAGTGAACCTCCCTCCCTGGTTGCAGAAAGAGGAATAAGTGGCACTTGAGTCACTGCTAAATGTACATTGTGTGCCAGACGAGAAGGAATAATGTTCATCATATTACCAAAGTTCAGGTCGTTCTCCCGATTGGATGATCACACCCTCCTGTTTGATCTTGATGGTTATGACACCGACACTTTGCAGAAATACATTTCTCATACTTACGTTTGAATCGCAGCTTGTTCTTACAGCACCGCGCTGTAAGTGTCTCCTCCATGTCTCAGCCTATTTTCACATGACTCTCACTGTGCTGCTTTTTTAGCCCCCGCTGCCTCACATGAAAGCATATGGTTGGCAGTGACACCGAGAGCCAGAGCACCTCACCACGAGCGCGTTTATTTTTAACACGTGTCACCCGCGTGGGAATCAAACTCCCATCACAGGACCACCCAGATGTCCCAGATAACCTTAATCACAGCTCCAGTAGCTTTGGGTGTGTCATTAAACAGGCCAGCGAGACGTCAGCTGGGAGATGCCGTTTGCCTCTTCACTGTTTTTAATATTCAATGAAAGCCTCTTTGTCAAAAAAAAAAAAAAAAAAAAAAAGCACTTGATCTCACTGCTCCTTCTAAAGACTCACTGCTCCATCACAAGCGGCAGGTGAGAGGTCACTGTCATGGGGATGAAATGCTTCAGAGGGAGAGCAGGGGAACACGAGGTGCTCCAGACAACAAGAAAGCATTTAACTCCAGGCATTCACTCGCCCTGCTTTTCATTTCCTTCCTTCCACAAGTGTCTCTCATTCATCCTCACCGCTATCAGATAAGACTCGGGGATCAGCGGTTCATGTTGTGAAGACGGTCGTCAGGGTAACCAGGGCAATGATGTCATCAAGTGGCCAAGATTATTTCCTCCCGAGTAATGAGAAAGCCTAAACATCATCATAAGATTAGAAATGACTATAATTTGATTCCTTGTGTCACAAATAATGGCTTGTGGTGGCGAGGGCAGGGAGGTGTTGAAAGCTAGAAGATTAATTCCATATCAAGATATTAAAGCCCCAAAAAATTGTCATGTTTTCAATTAACTATTTGATATTCGTGTCGGCCAGTCAAACACTGAAGTGATGTTCACTTCCAGGGCTGGAGCAAAAGCAGAGCAAAGGCTGCAAACATTAACATGCCCAACTACATAACTTACTACCAACAGTAGAAACCAAGTGTTATTTACAAGGCCTGAACACTGATACTAAACATCATTTAGTAACTACATTCGTTCACAACTTCTCCATCCGCTGTGAAGTATTTCATCACTGTGTGGAAGCTTGTTCCTGGATGCTAGCGGAGTTTTGGCTAATGTTAGCGGCGCCGTACTGACCTTTATTTAATCTACAATTAAAACAAAGAAACAATAGGCCCTTGCTTTCAGACAGAGGTACACAAAAGAACAGACTGCTCATTTCTGGCCAATCTGCCACCATTACCATAGTTTACTGCACATTAGCTGTGCAAGAACAAAAAAAGCTTGATAGATGTAGAAATCGTAACTAACGGGAGGCAAACACTCATTTAGAGCCGGTGCCATTTTGCTGCTCTCCTTTTGCAATAATGTAGAATAATTGTGATTCAGTTTATTCGGTTGATTAAAGCTTCTCCATTTGCTGTTTTCGCTAATGTCTGGTTTCCAGGAAAAAAAAAAATCCTCTTGCCGAAGGGAAATGATGCATTTCAGCCTCCAGATGCAGCATCGGTGGTTTGTTTGAATAATAAACTTGGTAATAAACTTCACCAGATGCTCGTTTAAAGTCCACAACTTTTTATTTATTTTTTTTCTTCTTCTTCTTCTTTCTCCCTCCCACTGTTCTCTCTCATTTAGAGACACGCCCCAGGCCAACGACGGTGGAGCCAAGACGCCCCGGTCCAAAACGTCATCCCGTTTCCCCAGACTGGGCCGCAGCCGCAACCAGGAAGCCAGACCAGAACCTCAGAGTGGAGACCTTTAACCCCCTGGAGCCTTGGAACTAATAATCTCTCACTGTAAAGGCAGAGGACGCCAATGTTCCCGTGTGTCTGGACTATGACACACTGACTGACACTGTGTGAGGACGTTAAGGACGAGTACCGGACCTTCAGAGGAAAAACAAAACAAACAAAAAGAAGAAAAGCCTCAGTCCAGGAAGGGGTGATGGATGTGTTCACATTCGCAGTCCTCTCAAGGTGAATATGTAAACGTTTCTGTGCATTGCCTGGCTGAGTAAAGGATAACTGACCCCCCCCCCCCGAGGTTGCCTATCAATGGACCCAATCATACAGCACCTCTTACCTCACTGAGACCAAAGGACTCTCTGTAAACCGCACATGGACTAGCCTGGACTGCTCTCTTTCATCTCAAACACACTGAGATGATGGGGATGTGTTTTATTTTATTTTATTTTATTTTTTTTTCCTTTTTCTTACTCTACTCAGTTTTGTAGTGAAAGCGTGTCCTGGTCACAGTGCCTACAGTGTTTTGTAGCTGCTTTCCCGCTCTGGGTTGGGGAGAGGAGGGTGACGAGGGGTAAAGTTTTCTCTTGGGGAATGAATGTTGTTTTTCAGCTTATGTGTCAGCATTATGGTGCCATTAGATTTTAGACAAGGGTAAATCACAGTCTCTGGCGTGGACCACCAGGCAATGGGCATTCCTTTTTCTTACTTCTGCTATATAATTATAATTATAATTATTATTATTACAGCTGTTACAGATAATCTGCAGAAAGAGTATATCTTAACATATCTTAATGTCGCGGGGGATGCAGTAATTATCACAAATATGTTTTAAATTCCACTTAATGATCATATTAAAGGATTAGGGTTCAACACCACTGATAAAACCAAAATCACTTAGGGACTGTATGAAAAGTATTGGGGTGAAGAGATGGTCTAATTATATTTCCCTTATTGAAAAAGCAAAAAACCTCTCTGGTGTAATCAACATTTTCTTTGTACCTTAACCATGACTTAGAACGAAAAATAGTATTGAGTTGTTTTTTTTTTTCCCAAGTTTTTTCCCAAGTGCACATTAGAATTAGAAATTTCCAAATAACAGAATGATGAATATTCCAGCCGCTCTCTATTTAAGGATAAAGAGACACTCAATAAAAGGCCAGACTTTAATTATAATAAAGGTTTATTTAATTTTACATGAACCATTTGACTTTTAAAAGATGTTTAACTGTAGAATAAAATACTAAAATATAAATTCATAGTGAATAAAATTTTAGTACAGTTCCTTATTGAGAGTTTATATGAACAATATGAACAATATCTCTCCTCACATCCACGTCTGAGATCAGTTTCAAATACCTGCTGTGATCCGTGTGATGAGATTATGTCATAGAGGTTTTTTTGATAAGAAAAGTAGGGAAACACGATTTTACCATTCAAATAAATTGGTCAGCTGTGGGTTTACCTCCAGTACATCACACGGATAAAGGGTCTTCATCAGAGGTCGACCGGCTGCACTGAAAAATTGAGTGTTTAAAGACGGTTTAACTAATGTGTCTTAGCAGGATTTAATGCAGCGTTATGTTGCAAATGAATGTTTTAACGATGACTAAACACTTGAAGAAAAGCTGCTTGTTAGAGTGCAAGGAGAGGACTGCCGAGCATCAAGTGTGTGTAAAACAGAAGCTCATGCATATGTATGGATTACCCAAGAGTAGTCGGAGACTGTGTTCAAACGCGGAGTGATTGTGTGAGAAGGTTTCAGAAAACTTGAATCAAAGGGTCGGCTCTCGCAAAATGGTAAACACCGTTCACTGTCGACGGAGGGAGGTGAACAAACAAAGCTTGTGGGTTTTAATTAAGTTGTTATTCTTACACAGAAATGACCCTCACACGTATCCAGCTACTGGTAAACACCGTGCGGGGAAACTCTCACAAGGATGCCGTCAAATAACTGTTGTTGTCAGACTTCACTGAGACCTTTTACAGAGAGATTGTCTCATGGTAGCGTGGCGCGCCGGCCGACTAAACCAACAACGTGGGAAAGAAAAGACGAAAATGATGTTTCGAAAATTTTTGAAGAAATTATTTCAAAACAACGACATTCTTTTTCTTTTTTTTTTTTTTTTGCTTTTCTTTCTCAGTCTGACAAATGGCACTGGTGTCTGAACATGTTATGTAACTTAAACATGAATTTCTATCATTATTCTTTTTATTAAAGACTATTTTCTGCTGTGATACAGTAAAACAGTACAACTGGTGACATTGTAGGTGTAGCACTGCCTTATATGTATTAGGAGAATCAGCACCATAATATATTCTGTACCACTGATGAACAACATTGTCACATAGTCTCTCTATTATAATAAACACGTAGCCTTTTTTTTTTTTTTAGCGAAGGTTGGGGTCAGTTTGGCTCTGTGACCACTTCTCTGCACAAAACCCACTTTGTATTTGTGGCGATGTACAGTAATTATGCACAGGATCATTCATAGAGAGCTGTTTTTAAAAGTCTTCTCCACCATCATATAACGTTGTCGGAAAAAAAAAAAGAAAAGAGGATCAAAATCGATGCTGCAGAATCAGAAATATCGTCTTTTTTTATTCCACCTGGCATCTAAATTACCCATAATTCAACTCGCCCGCCAACAGTTTGGTCAGAGATTTGGGTGTGTTCTGATCGTAGCGGCTAATGTAGCCTCCAGCTGCCAGCTGAGCCCTGAGGGCAGCTTTAAAGGTAGCCTGTGGAGTTTTTTGACCACTAGTTGGCGATATGGAGGAATGTTTTCACTGTGTGTTCGGGTCACCACCATCTTTGATTGATTGTTTACACAATCCTGTTTCTTGTTTCACACTGATCTGCTGATAGACAGTTAGCAGCACTAACACACAAAGAAGTGCGGCGATGTGCCGACAAAGGAAGAGACGAGGGCGACAGCGCTCTGTCAAACAGAAATTTAAACAATGCAGGATTTCAAATATTTAAAAACTGAGCTTTGCTCAGTGTTTTATGGGCACACTGATACACTCAACACATTTATTAAACCTCAATGTTTTTGGTGAATAACACTGGATTTGAACTATTGTTGGATCACAGGAAAAACTCCACAGGACACTTTTAAACCTTTAAACATTTTTAGTCCCGCAGGGAACTTTTTAGATTTTCTTGCTTCCAGACAAACTGAAGCGAGTGCAGGTCTTTTTCTCTTGCACTTATTCAAAGCTGTTTTGAATTTGGATTGTTTCGCCAGGAGTCAAACTGTTCGTTCTGCAGCTTGATGCCATTTCAGGTGCTGTTGATGATATAAAAGTTTCATTGACAGCAGGAAAAAAAAAAGGCCAGTGCTGCACAAAGAGGTTTCCTGGTTGACATGACAGGTGTACTCTGGAAGTTTTCACATGATCAGAAACATCAATATTGTTTTAAATGGCCGCATCTGCATCCCCCCCCACCAGCCTCCAGACGCTGGAGGAATTGAATCTTTCTGCACCGGGGGAACCGGAGCGATGACGGCCACAGTGTTGTCTTGCCATGTCTGTTCTCATGTACTTTTCTGTCCTCGCCTTAGTCAGCAGTCAGGCCTTATCTATCAGTGTCACAGCAAAGAGGGGTGAACAATAAAGTACAGAATGTACAGTACACACACTACTAATGCCTGTGTATCAGTGTTGTCATTGGGGAAACTCTGTTGCTTCCGTATATGGATGAAGGCAAAAGGCCATTATGCAGTTCTGCTGCAAGAGTAAGCTTTTGTGTGTCAGTGTGCATGTATGCATTCACGCATGTGTAGGTACACACAGTAGGTGTTTATGATGTAATTTAAATGCAGACAGTGGGTGTGTGCTAAAGCTTGCATGTGTTTATATGGTGAGATGAACGTGTCAGCGCTCACATTATATTCTGCATGTGAACAATATCCATAAATGGATGGGTAGATTCTGTGAGTTCCATTCTCTGAGCATCTGTGGCCCTCCGTCTGTTTTATTTGTCGAATGGTTATTTGACCGTTACTGCGTCTTTAAGCAGTCGCTGAGCTTTTACTCAAACCATCCAGCCGTTTTTGTTTGTTTTGTTTTGTTGTTTTGTTGTTGTCTGTGCTGGGTTTGCTGTACCGGGTCGGTAGAGAGAAGAATGGCAACAGTGTACTAAATGCTCATTGTCCATTGACCAGAAAATTGGTAAGAAGCCCACTCGGGATCTGGGTGACTGCTTTTGACAATTTTAGATATTACGCACACATATACACACAACTGGCTGCGTGCAAGCCAAGTGCACTGAGCACTGATGCAGACATGTCCTGTTTTCATAGATTGGAGTAGAATAGCCCGGCGTGGTGAAAACCTCATTGTGTCAAAATACACATATTACGAGATGCTCGACCTGGATGTAACTCATAGGATACGTCTTATAATTTGGTAGGTTTGTTGTGTAACAGGAAATTGGAGGGTCACAAATGATGTCACACATGGTGGTGGTGGATGATGCCAAGAAAGCATTGGTGCAGGGGTGAAGTGAGAGACTAGTCCTGCTGGTCCAGGTGAGTCAAACCCTGGTCCCCACCAGCCCAGGGAAAAGAAAACACACACATATGAGGGACCAACAGAAGAATCTTCACTCTAAACTTCACACCACACAGGACTAGGCTTGTATGGTTGTAGGCAGATTGTGAGTTCACATTTTCAGCAGCACTGACAGTAATTAGAGTTGATGCAGTTTCTAAGGCAGTTCTTCCTCCCAGACTGTGTTGCCTTATTTAAAGACTTAAGTAAAGGTTAAAGACCCCCTCCGATGAAGAAAATCAAGTTTTAAACCTTGTTAACACGTCCATATGGAGTTTTTTTTAAATATAATACAAGACATTATGGATCGGGAGCGAAATATGCAGTCGATGCCATGACTGCATATTTCCGGTGAACCAATGACAGGCTCATAAAAATGGATTCCTGCAGCCAGAGATTCATATGTCACAAACCTGAGGAACCAATTGCATCAAATTGCTGGGACGGGGGGGGCGTGGCTAAAATAAACTCGAAACCTTGTCGGTACAGTGAGTGAGTTACAAGTTACAAGCTAACAAACAACATAAACAAATAAAAGATGCTAACTGCGCTAACAGTTCTGATGTGTCGGATAGTCGTCGATTTTGGTCACAACAGACTCCTCGTCTGAGTCTGAGTCTGACTGAGGCTCAAACACGTGGCTGAGTCTCGCCGTTGTTTCCTCCACTAACCATCTTGATACACACTGATCATTCACCTGTCCACCTGGCGCATGCAGAGGCGGTGG